AAAATATGACCTTGAATATATCCCACTTGAATTAGAGATCATCTGAAGTACAGATTTGATACATTAAACACTAAAGACCGAAGACCAGAAGAGTTGTGAGATGACATCAAGAACATCATACATGAAAAAAGCAAAAAGTCATTAAGAAGACATGAAAGAAGGAAAAGGTCAAAATGGATGTCAGAAGAGACACTGAAATATGCTCTCCAGCATAGAGATGCTAAAGCAAATGGAAGAAATGAGGAGGTCCAAGGACTGAACAGAAAACTTCATAGATGATCTCCAGAAGATAAAGCCAAATATTACAACAAAATATGCAAAGATCTGGAATCAGAAAATCAAAAAGGAAGAATCACACGTTCAGCATTTCTCAAGGTAGGGGAACTGAAGAAAAAATTCAAGCCTCGACTTTCATTATTGAAAGATTCTCTGGGCAAATTATTGAATGATGAAGAAAACATCAAGAAAAGATGGAAAGAATATGCAGAGTCACTGTACCAAAAGGAAATGGTTCATATTCGACCATTTCAAGAGATAGCATATGATCAAGAGCCAATGATACTGGAGGAGGAAGTCCAAGGTGCATTGAAAGAATTTGCAAAGAACAAGTCACCAGGAATTGGTGGAATAAAAACTGAAATCTTTCAATAAAGTGAGGCAGCACAGGAGGCACTCACTCATCTCTTCCAAAAAGTATGGAAGACAATTATCTGGTCGACTGATTGTAAGAGATCCATATTTGTGATGATTCCAAAGAGAGGTGACCCAACGGAATGCGGAAATCATCGAACAATCTCTTTGATATCCTATGCGAGTAAAGTTTTGCTAAAAGTAATAAAGAAATGGCTACAATCATATGTTGACAGAGAACTTCCAGAAGTTCAAGCTGGATTCAGAAGAGGCCAAGGAATAAGGAATATCATTGTTGATGTCCGACGGATCTTGGCTGAAAGCAGAGAATATCAGAAGGATGTTTACCTGTGCTTTATTGACTACACAAAGGCTTTCGATTTTGCGGATCATAACAAACTAAGGACAACATTGTGAAGTATGAGTGTTCCAGAACACTTAATTGTACTCATGAGGAATCTGTACCTGGACCAAGAGGCAGTTGTTCAAACAGAACATGGGAA